AGGTCAACATATATATATATATATATATATATATATTAATTGAGTTTGTGTACGAGTCTAGATTGAGTTCATTAACTTGATAGTGTAAAGATAGTTTTGTAATAATCTTATCTCGCAGGTGCTTGGCAACAACGTCCACTCTGTTCTTTCTGATTCTTCTATCCATGCATTACAAATTAATAAGATTATTTTTTCTTTTAGTATATTGTTATGTTGTAGGCTTGCAATTGGGAGTATAGCAAATAGAAGATAGGAAAATTGTTGGAAAAGTTAGGGAACCTGAAATATTATTGCCTGAATTACAAGTACTACAGAATATTTTGTTAAGAAAAAATGATTTTGGTTTCATTACGTGGTATGTCTGCCAATGCTGCTACTTTATATCTAGGAACTACATTTATTTTTAAGGTTAAACCACCTAGCCTCTTTGATAGCTATATGCACTAAACTAAAAAAATGTTTGCTATCTGGTTTAAAATGCTTATTTTCCTAACCATTGATAAAGTTGGATTAAGATGGTGGCATTCAGACCGATTAATCTTTGAAGTATGATGAAAATCCATCTAAATTATATCTCTGTCCTTGATTTTGTTTCTTACTCATATGTTAGACAGGTCCATTCTAGCCGGTCCACACGGGACCGGCCCAGGCAAATAGAGGCGGAGGTTCTGCCTCTCCCGTGGAGGCTGAGCGGACAACAAACCTCCACCGGGCTGATTTAGGAAGGATTTTTGAGAAAGTTTAGGAGGGAATTTGAATGGAGGGGCTGTTTAGGGATTTCCTTTTGGTTTGCATTCATTAAGTTGTTTGTTTTCCTAGGGTTAGGACATCTTGAATTGGGCTGAAATTTGAGATCTTTTAGATTTAGGTTTTCTTTTGGGCTCTAGCGGCGTCTAGAGTTGGGAGAGATCGATCATCCTCTCGAATAGATGATCAATTGTATCTTGCTATTTTTCGTTTCCTTTTCATCAAATAATACAAATTATCTACTGTTTTTCTGTTTTTGTGTGGATTTTGGTGGAGAATTCTCGCTGTTTTCCAAAGATTGATAGGAAATACTTGAAATCTATAAGTGTTTCCTATCATCATACTTGAGTTTTACTTGAAAACACATGCTCTACGTGATGCCCATGGTCTTGTAAAGTCTTATGAAATCGCATGATTGTTGATTTTCTTTTTCTCTGTTCTTCTTATTGTTCTTAGAGCACTGCCCGTGAAGTGAAGCGCCTGGATTCCATAACTAGGTCCCCTGTTTATGCCCAATTTGGGGAAGCACTGAATGGACTTTCAACCATACGTGCGTACAAAGCATATGATAGAATGGCTCGTATTAATGGGAAATCCATGGACAATAACGTTAGATACACACTTGTGAATATGAGCGCCAACCGTTGGCTTGCTATACGGTTAGAAACCCTGGGAGGGATTATGATCTGGTTTACTGCATCCTTTGCGGTAATGCAAAACCAGCGTGCTGAAAACCAAAAGGCATTTGCGTCAACAATGGGACTTCTTCTTTCTTATGCTTTAAATATTACAAGCCTATTGACAGCTGTTCTGCGACTTGCGAGTCTTGCTGAGAATAGCTTAAATGCTGTGGAGCGAGTTGGAAATTATATAGAACTACCTTCTGAGGCTCCTCCTGTTATCGAAAGCAACAGACCACCTCCTGGTTGGCCTTCTTCAGGAACAATTGATTTCCAAGATGTTGTTCTTAGATATAGGCCTGAACTTCCTGTTCTACATGGCATATCCTTCAGAATTGCAGCAAGTGAGAAAATTGGAATAGTTGGCCGTACTGGGGCTGGAAAGTCTAGTATGATCAATGCGTTATTTCGGATGGTGGAATTGGAGAGAGGGACAATTCTTATTGATGATTGTGATGTTTCCAAATTTGGTCTTTGGGATTTACGCAATGTTCTGGGAATAATCCCGCAATCTCCAGTTTTGTTTTCAGGTATGTTCTATGCTATTGTATTTGGTTTAAAAGTTTGACTTTTGATATATGATATATGATGATATTATCATTCAAATTGTTTAATGATCGCTTTTGATTGTGACCCATCTGCAATCCGACATTATAATTTTTCCAGCATGGGCTTTAATTATGGAAAACATTTTATCTCCTGTCATATGATCTAATGTTCCCGAGTCTATCTTCTAAGCAATAGTTTTTTTTTTTTTTTTGGCGCTCAAGTACTTAAGAATTCATCTTTTTGAGCCAGCAAATATATTCTGGTGATGGTTTTGAAATAAGCTTTTGCTGGGAGAATGGTTGGTTGTCTTTGATTTACAGTTCATATGGTTGTAAGGGGATGGAGAGAGCTACTGCATTTTGTATATGTTGATGGTTCTCTTTGGAATTTTTTTAGTTGAATAGTATTTCATCATAGATTTTCATGTTTTTTATATGAATTTTTCATTTGGGGGTTGATTTCCAGCATTGAAGTTGCTAACTTCTTGTCTATTAGCTTCTTCTGATAGTTTTTTTCTTTCTAGGAGACCAACTCACATATGTTTTCATCATTTTTGTTAGACAAAGACTAGCTTTGAAGGTTGTTGGAGGTTGGGCTAGAGAAGAATTTCCACATTAAGGACCCCTCGACTTCAATGTTGTCTGAAAAAATTTGAATGAGAAGAGAGGAGAACAGAAAATGGGAGATTATATGATTGAATTTTCTGCTCATATTTTGTATAAAAGTAAGATGAAAAGATGTACACAAATAAGTAAAAAAGCAACTATCAAGAAAAGAAATAAATTTGCACCCACCCTTGCAAAAAGTTATTTCCGTTCCTTTATTTTTCAGTTAACTGTTGGTGCTTGTATGTATTTTATATGCTTTTATGCTTCAGTTTTTCAACGAAACTGTTTATGTGAAAACGGTTGGTTGATCCATCACTTCCATCCAGGAACTGTTCGGTTTAATCTGGATCCCTTCAATGAGCATAACGATGCTGATCTTTGGGAAGCTTTAGAGAGAGCACATCTGAAAGATGTTATTCGTCGGAACTCTTTAGGGCTTGATGCTGAGGTCTGCTTTCTTTCTCTTGCTCATGTTTTGCATGGAGACTAGCATACTGCACTGTGCATTGTCATACAATGAAACATCAGTATAATATTGTGAATAAGAAATAGGAGCACAACTCGCATTCCAACAATTTTAATTAAAAGTTAGTTGAAGAACATAATATTCTAACATCTATTATTGTCTATTTTTATAATTTTAGGAGTGCATTTATAATTCTATTAGACAAAAAATATTTATTGTAATATGTTCTTAAATAAGTGAAGGAAATATCTAATATGTGCATGCTCAAATGTTTGCCTTTTCTTTTCACAATCAATATAAGATAAAATACTTTCCCGTTATTGTTTTTACTCCAAAAATATTGATTGTAATATGATGTAGTAAGTATTGGAAATATCTAATATTTGCATTCTTAAATGTTCTCCTTGCTTTTTTCACAATCAATATAAGGTAAAATAATTGCCTGCAATTGTTTTTGCTCAACCAAAGCTTGGAAGTTATGTTTTTTATTTATATAGTTATAATCCCCAAAGTTGTGTCTCATAATTTTGTTTATGGCTTACAATTGTGATGAATTCTAACTAGTCGCTTATTCTACATTTTTTTCTTGTGGATAATATCAGCCTCATTGTTTTTGTTAATTTATTTTCAGATAAAACCAGCCACTACACATTACTATAACTACAAAGCAAAGCAAGATTTGCATAAAACTTATAATATCCCTCACAAGTGCTTACCAACCTTAAATATTTGAAAGAAGAATGATTGTTAAAGTGAAACTAAATGTAC